TATATATATATATATATATATATATATATATATATATATATATAAACTTGAAATGAATTTTGTTTTGCTAAAGGAGGAAAGTAATACAATTTTTCTTAATTTTCAATAAAAAAAAGGTTAGTATAGCTTTTCCTAATCACCAAGCTAATGAATTTTATCCATATATTGCCAAATTTACGAATAAGTGCGGTTTATACAAGACAACAACTATACTTATAGAAATAAGGTGGCGGTGTTCTACACCGTCTAGTTAGACTACATCTTTTAAGATAGTGTCAAAAAGTAGCACATCTTTAAAGACAATATCGATTCGATACTGTCCAATTAAAATGAATTGTGTAAATTATACGATATTAATTCAACGATAAAAATTGTCACCTTATATGAAAATTTTAAACCCCATATTCCCTTTTGAGATCTCCAAACTAAAAACGATGGTTACTCACCCTCAGGTCTAATGACAATTTCTTTCACATGCAACCATTTTTCAGGACCTGTTTGTTGTCACGAATAGTTGCAAAATACAACATCATATACGTATCTAGTTCGGTAGTGCGGTCTTGTCCCAAATATTTATAGTGTTGAAGGCCACATAGGAAGGAAAACTCTGACTTAGTCATGGTAGCATAATTAGTTGTAGAGGTTGAAAAATCGACGAGCTGATTCAGAGTTGTCTTAAACCTAGATGTCTCAATTTCCAATTTGTCTGAAATTGGGAAATCTGTAGAGCATTGGGTGGTTCACGAAAGGACTTGAGCACTCTTCGGGTCTTAGACAATTTTTTTCTTTTTTATTCTAAATAATTGGGATAATGCATGGTTGTCACATTCTATTTCACCTACAAGCCGACCCGCCCGAATAAGCGAGCCGACCCATATCAGCGACTTAAGTGTCCCCAATCCTATATTTTAGACCTTGGTTGTAAAAGCATATTTTTTTCCTTTGTCGCTAAAAAAGGCCGTTCCGCAGCATTATTTAGGACACCCAAACAGGCCCTTAGTTAAAAAAAAAAAACTATTGGTATGTTTCTCATGAAGTGATTCTATTTGCATTGTTTCACAATCACATGCGAATAAGCTCTTGCCAATGGAAGTCAAGTATTATTCGTATAATACCCCTACAAGCACCATTTTCCAAATTCACAAAACAGGACCATTTTCTCTCAGAAACCACAGAAATCCACATAAAATCAAGCCTCCAAAATGCCATAAACTCAAAATCATCCCTCCAAATACCCAAAATCCTCCACCAAATGATCGAGACATCCATCCCTCTAGACACCCACACTTACCATTCTTTGTTACTTCTCTCTAGAGATATTCTCTCTCTAAAGCAAGGGAAGCAAATCCATGCTAACATGTGTCGCTCCAATTCCATCTCTAACATCTTCCTTTCGAATCGGCTCATTGGATTTTATGTTGAATCTCGGTCGTTAATGTATGCTCGTCGAGTGTTCGATGAAATGTTCATGAAGAATGTTTATTCGTACAACACCTTGATTTCTGGCCATGTTAATGAAGGCCTTCTAAATCAAGCCCACCAGTTGTTCAATGAAATGCCAGAGAGAGACACCATATCTTATAACACTCTAATTTCTGGCTATGCTAAGTTGGGCCACAAAGAAGAGGCCTTAGAGTTGTTTAAATCAATGGTTTTTGAAGGTTTAAGGCCCAATGGGTTCTCATTTACTAGTATATTAGGCACATTTTCTAGCATTTTAGAGACTAGGTATGGTGCTGGTATGCATGGATTTATTACGAAAGCGGGGTTCGAGGGCAATGTCGTAATTGCAAACTCGATAATCGATATGTATGCAAAATGTGGTGAAATGGAAAATGCGGAGAAACTGTTTTGTATTATGCCCGACCACGACGAGATCTCGTGGACTTCGCTGGTGTGTGGATTTGCAAAAAATGGGGAGTTTTGGAGAGCGTTAAAGATATTTCGTGAGATGGTGAGGAGCACGATGGAATTGGATACAGTGATCTTTGCTAGTGTTATCAGTGGAGCTGCGTGGTCTACTGCATTGGAGGAGGGGACCCAACTCCATTGTTTGGTTGTTAAAAGAGGGGTCGGAGGCAGTGTGTACGTAGGAAGTGTGCTTGTTGACATGTACGCCAAGTGCGGGAAAATCGAAAGCTCGAGTCGAGTTTTCGAGGAAATGCAGGTAAAAGTATTTTTGATTTTCGATAAGTATATTATGATTTTCATAATTATGGAAATCCATGATCATTAGGATCAACACTGGCTAAATACTGGTTGGACGAGATGGTTCGCCAGGTTCCCTTGATAGAATTGCCCAGTTCCCTTTCAGAACGGGGGAGTCCAGGGGAACCAGACCGATTCTCAGATTCCAACAAAGAAATCTGGACCGCCAGCTTTTAATACATTGGGTAAAATACAATACTTTTACTGAGCAGGGAAAAGTATTATAATACAATAGCTATGTAAGGAAAACTTGTAATCTAATGGATCATCATGGTCCATTGAAGTAATGGATGACGATCGATGGCATGGACCAAGAGAAAAAAAGCTTATTAATGGATCCCATATCCATCATTTCTTCAAACGGCTATGATTGAATCATCTGCAATTTTTCCATGGTCTATACGTTTACACATCAGTACCATAAAAATCCTAACCACCCATGAATGTTTCCTTCACCATATTATGCATTTTAATGACTCTCTGTTCATGGCCTTCTAGGTAAGGAATGTGGTCTCATGGAACGCCATGATCTCCGGCTTGGCGCAAAATGGACATGCAGATCGTGCTATTCTAATTTTCGAGAACATGAAGACGACGAGGAGGAGCACAAAGCCTAACGAGAGCACCTTTATTGCTGTCCTCACTGCTTGTTGCCATGCAGGATTAATCAACAGAGCTAAGACTTACTTTCAATCGATGGTCGAAGATTACGGTATTGGCCCTAGATTGGACCACTACTCATGCATGGCTGATCTTCTAGGGAGGGCAGGGCACGTAAAAGAGGCGGCTGAACTGATCACGAGTATGCCCATGGAACCTGATGCTGTTATTTGGGGATCTTTGCTATCTGCTTCTGAGAAAACTGGAGACGTAGAAATAGCAGAAAAGGCGGCGAAAATGTTATTTGAATTGGAGCCAGAGGATGATGGACCATATGTTTCTCTCTCAAATGTCTATGCAGGGGCTCGCAGATGGGAGGAAGTGAAGGCTCTGAGGGAGAGGATGAGATGCCATGGAGTGAAGAAGGGCGCAGGGTGCAGTTGGATTGCTTTTGAAAATGAAAATTTTGAGTTTTCAACATGAAAAATATGAAAAAATGAAAAATGAAAAAAGAATGGTGGATTTTGAAAAGGGTGCATGTTTGTGCAAGGCTGAAGCCCTAAATCCCCCCCTCAAATCAGCACCTTTGACAAGATGGATCTAAAATTAATTTTCAATAATGACAAAAAAATTTGGAACTCAAAAAAATTTACGACACTTATTTTTAAAGTAAAATAGACAGTCTAGATAATTTGTTATCATATATTATTTTTAGGCATCTCTTTCTTTAAAAACGGTGATATTCCAGTCGAGATGATCAATGTAAAAGTTTTTTAATTTTTGATGAGTTATAACGTGAGCCTTTATTATGTTTGGGAGCATACGCAGACTGACTCGACTCTCTCAAGCAAAAGGCCTAACTTGGGAAGATTTTTTTATCCAAACTTTTGTGAATCAAAAAATTACTAGGTGATATATTCAAAATAAAGAATACAAAGTTTGTGTTTTTAAAATTAAATAGCTTTTTTTAGTGTTGAGGCAATATATTTTGAAAAAATATGTACAGAAAACATTTACTTTTGGTACAACGTGTCATAATTGATCTTGAACATTAGATGTGACATTGGGTAGCTGTAATTATTTTATCGGCAAAGCTCAAAATCTAATTTTTTCTTTTTCAAATTGTTTTAGATTTCACATTGAAAGGTTGTAAGTATTTTTGACCTCCATGTATGAAAGGTAAAACGTATCCTTGTGTACAATCCCTTATATTTTTCGAGCCCAGTGAGTTCAATTTGAATTTCTTTATTGCGTTATGTGCTGAAAAGGCTGCATCCCCAAATTTTAGATCCCTGGAAATGCCCCTAGATTAGAATTTGCTAGAGGAAATAAATGTAGAACATGCTTTCTAGAGAGCACGAAATCTCTTGGCCTTTATAAATTGGAACAAAGTTCATACAAGGATGCTACCTTATAATGTAGACCAACGGATGCCCCTAAAAAGTCCATGGAAAAAATGTAGTTTTAATGCTGTAAAACCCTTTGATTGATCACTCGACATCGAGATGTATGACTATGAAAAATAAAAAGATTTTAAGACTAAAAAATAGTACATTTTACAATATATTATCTACACTGTCCATTTTCAAGATTTTCATATGTTTATAGTTCTACTTAATATTAGCTATTTTTGAAATTTAAACTTTTATAATTAG